CAAATACTCTTATTCGATTCTCCGCACAACTAGAAGCCGTGCCGCTCTAGAATGACTTATTTTTTAAGTCCTTGAATATCTGTCGTGTAACTTATATGGGATCCTTTAGTTTCAGTCAAGAGAATACTATGTAGCCGAGCCTTATTCGTTAATTTATTTGTATTAAAAATACAAACACATCAATACTCAAAGATAATTTTACACTACTGGATAAGAAATTTATGGAAGCGAAATAGTATCATTACTTCTACAGTGAAAAAAATAGGTTAGTATTAAATTATTTCTTCCTCGATGCAAGAAGTTGATTAAATACCATATTAACTTGATCCCACGACTTAATTTCGGTTGAAGTTCTTTTTAACCACGCCTGAACATTTGGATAATCTTCACATGAAGCTCCTGCAACTGGTAATGCTGTCACTTCACATATTAATGCAATATCAGCGATTGAAATTTGATTTCCGCCGGCAATATAATTATTTTTACCCAAAGTTTCGTCCATAAAACCCAAAGCTACTTTTAACACATTGTCACCTTCTTTTCGTAATTCATCAATTGTCTGTTGAGGAAGCTGTTTAATAGGACCAAAAAAATTTGCTTTTATCAAACAAAGTGAACCGTGACGGAGATTCAGGTGGTGCCAGTCTAACCAGTAATCAACTTTAGCACGCTGTTTAATATCGTTTGGATAATAATGATCAGGTAGATTCCTACTTGTACATAAATAACGCATTATTGTATGAGATTCGCCCAAGTGAAAATCATCATCAACAATCGACGGAAGTTTCCCAGCAGGATTCACTTCCTTGTAAGCCGCACTCTGAGTTTCTTTTTTCATAAAACTGACTTCATGAACTTGATGTTCAATGTTATTATCCATCAGTAACATCGCCACAGCACGACATGGTTGAGATAACCAATCAATGTATAAATGAAGAACCATTGTATAGGAATCTGAGAATATGGAAAAGAAACGATGAAATGTTTACTAAAGAGGAACGTGTGCCGATTCTGTGTCAAAGCTTTTTCGCTCCCTTTGTACGTAATGTTTTTCTTATATGAGAAACTTTGTGCTTTGTTTTTCTCTTTGAGATTGCTTTGTTTTACTTTCTTATCTGTTAGCACGCAGCAGAATAATATAAATTGCTTCTCTGGTGGTTAGGTAGTTGTGTTGTGGCTTTATCGTTATAAAGAGTAATAGAACAAATAATAAGACATAAAAAAGGATACCATATAAGTTACACGACAGATATTCAAGGACTTAAAAAATAAGTCATTCTAGAGCGGCACGGCTTCTAGTTGTGCGGAGAATCGAATAAGAGTATTTGAACACAAAAAGCTTGTTCTCAAAGCGGGATACAAGTTCTAACGATTAAACTCATACTAAGCGCAGCATCTTAGGGAGCTGCAGGCTCATTTTCAGCTAACAAGATCCAAAGCGGAAGCCATCACTAGAAATCAAAGACCCGCTGAATCTCTTAAAACCAATTCCAGCCTGCAACTTCCTATACCCCCTCCCAAAATAGAAGGCCACCCCTAGATCAGTGTTTCAAGGGACATATTACAAGACCGCTGATAGCCCAGTGCGAGTCAGAAGATCACTCTTATCAGGCGGCCAGTCAAAAAGCTGCTATTCACTGGGAAAGACATGGTCCATTATTCTCCGGGAGGGGGGCGGCAGGTTCTCGTCTACGATTCGCTTCCGCTGCATTAGTCTCTGAGTAAGAGTCTCTACAGAAAACTGAACAAAATGTTATAGATTTCAACTTTTCTAAATTTGAATTTTACTTCATTAGAACTGCCATTGAACACGCTTTAAAAGTATGAATCGCTTTTTGTATTTTGTTTCGTGAAACTTCATTTTTTCTAAGGTGCCGGTAATTCAAAGTTCGAGCACTTTTTAGTTTTTGTTGAAACACAAAATAATCAAAATAATCTTTCTTTAATATGTCCTTACCTGAAAATTCTTCTATTGACAAAAAGAAAAGAATTTGTATGCTCTTAGCGATGAATTTTGTGCATGCATTTTTGAAAAGTTCAAAAAAGTGTTTGAGCTAAAAAACATTTCTTTTTGTTCGCGTTAATTCGATTAAGAAAATTCATTTCTAAATGAGAGAACTTTCAAAAATACTGAGAGATGTATCATACCCAGTCGTCGTTGTATACAGCTTATCTATATCGACGATTAAAATACACTAGACGTAAAAATTAGCCTCAAAATACTAGTACTAATCTGAATCTTGTTGTTCTTCACGCCGTGCGAACAGCGTTTGCTCCTGCCGACATCGATTTCTTCGCCACCAGAACTCATTTTTTATACAATAAAAATATCATATTGGTAATCAGCGCCAAAAACTGACGTCGAATAATATACTTTCTTATCGGATTTGTGTTAAACACATATTAGAAACACATATATTTACTATTGATGAGCTTTTATTTTAAAATAAAGCGAAACGCGTCCAATATTTACTTATTTGCACTCGAATAAGCATTTATACAAACAAGTATTTGAACCAAAAGAGAGTCAAAGCGTTTTTGAATAAAAAATCTTTAAATCCCTGTTGAGCCCAACATGTGTTTTTGAATAAAAACCATTTGTCTTTCATCTTTCTTCCCTCCACATATAATTGATAAAAACGAGTCTAGACCGAAAATTCAAATAGGTACGTGTCTTAATCATTTTTATATTATATTTCGATCTATCAGATTCCGAATAAACGCTGAAAACTGAGTCGAATGGCATATGTTTCAGATCTTTTGCTGATTTTCATTTTTTAGTGAGAATCTCACTACGTTTTTCGCCGTACAAGTCAAAACAAAACTTAAAATAGTGGGATAGCATAAAAAAAAAGCGTATTATTCGACTCAGCTTTTGGCGCTCATCCCGAATATGACATTTTTATTCTATAAAAACTGAGTTCTCATGGAGAAAACTGCGAATTACGCGTAAGGGTCTAAGGCGCCGGTAATTCAACGTTCGAACATATTTTAGTTTTTGTATACACACACATATTCGGATTCGTCGTAAGTCGCTGATTCCGAATCCTTCCGAATCCGAGCCTTAGTTTTTGATTTAAACAAAGTTTTGACGGAGAAAATTGGGAAATACTGACAAACTATCAAAAACTCGAAAAACCTATCTTTTCCAAAAAATTGTCCCAAAAATTTTGCTTTTCGTTTTATGGAATTTTCGACGTGATAGTCAGGTTTCCCGTATGAAAATGAGCCTAGAAAAGTTCTCTCGAGCTCGATCGCATATTACGTCCTCCCTAGGCAAACCCAAGCGGGCTAAACCCTTCGTTTGGACGACCGAAAATGGCTCCATGACCTTTGTTTGCAAAGTTATAGAAGTTACAAAAAAGGCCCTAAATATTCATTGTCAACTCAAAGCTACAGAAATAAGAACTTAATTTAGGGTTTTTCTTGTAAAATAACTTTGCAAAGAAAGGTCATGAAGAGTTGGGACAGGTCTCGTTTTAATCAGAAATGCGCGGGCCACAAGCATGGCTCATTAAGAATAGCTTTGGTTGTTTTCCAGGTTTTATGAAAAACTGGTTTTCCAGAAAAACGCATCTTGGAAGCTCTAAGGGCAGCTCTCCTATTCATATTCGGAATCAGCATGGTCGACTACCTATAGCCCACTAGGTTTCGTTGAAAAAGCGAGAGGACACTTAAAAACGTTCTGTCTCGAGTCGATTGATATGTATTTCCCAAGTTTTAGTTGACGTTCCAATTTGGAGTGAAAATCGCTAATTTTTCAAAATTCGAAGCAAATCGAAGTAGTCAGATAGGATAGAAATACATGTCAGGCGACTCAGCTTTTGATTCTGATTCCGAATATGATATTTGTATTGCTGAAAAGTTCAGTTCTGATAGAAAAATTTGATAATTAAGTTCAGAATTCTGAGTTTTCGCCGCGTATTTAGTAAATATGAATTTTCTCTGCAAGCAAACAAAATTTTAAAAAATCTAGGTTA